TTTAAGGAACACACCCTAAGGCACCTCCTCTGATGGAACATTGGCTCTGGTAACAGAAAACTGCCAGTCCCAGGGTCACCCCAAAGCCTGTCCCCAAGGACACTTCCAGACACCTCTGGGACACTCCCAGAAACTCCAGCAGACCCCGGGAAACTCATTCCAGCACCTCACCACTCCAGGAGGGAAAAATTCCTTCCAGTCTCTGATGTGAACCTCCCCCATGAGAAAATCAGGGACTGGGGCAAGGTGGGCACAGCAGGGAAGTGAAGCAGCTTCCAGGAGGCCTCCAGGGCCTTGTGGAAAACCCCAACAGCCAAAAAAGGGCATTTTGCTGGGAAAGAGTGACAAAAATTCACTGTGACTCAGTGAAGGAACTCAGCAGAAGTGAGAGGAGGTGAGCACTCCTGCTTTGGTGAGCAAGTCCAGACATAGGGAGGAGGCAGGCAGGGGAAAGAAGAGATTTTCTAAGGGAAAGGAAGAGATTTTCCAGGGGAAAGAAGAGATTTTCTAAGGGAAAGGAAGAGATTTTCCAGGGGAAGGAAAAGATTTTCCAGGGGAAGGAAGAGATTTTCCAGGGAAAATCTCAACACAGGTGTGCCAATTATAAAAAATAAACAAGTAAAACCAAATAATAAATAAATAAAACCTAATCAATTACAAATAAATAAATAACCCCCAACAAAAAAAACCTAATCAATTACAAATAATTAAATCCTAATAATAAATAGATCAAGCCTATTCAATTATAACTACATAAAACCCAATAATAAATAAAACATTATAAATTATAAAAAAATAAACAAAACCTAATAAGAAATAAACAAAACCCTAATAATTACAAATAAAACCTAATAAGAAATAAATCAACTATAATCAAATCTAATAAATAAACAATTAAACCCCACCAATAATTCAGGCCAATCCCTGGATCCATTCCAAAGGCAGAAGTCCTGAGAAAATCCCAGCACTGGAAAATCCTCCCCATCTGCTGGAGTCCCTCAGCTCGTTCTAAATAACTCTGGAGTTGTTGGCTTTCCTATTATATATTGGCTTTAAAAAAAAAAAGAAAAATATTTTTATTACTTTATTATTTTTTATTATTTTTATTAATAATAATATTTAGAATATGTATAATGAATTTTATTACTATAATATATAATATTTATAATATATATTCTATATTATATTCATATATAAATATAATTTATTATATTAATATATTATATATTATATAATGTTTCTAATAATTAAATTATTTACCATAGTTATAAATAATTATATTATTTCTATTATTTAGATATTACTTATAATGATTTTGGTACAGTACAGTCTGTAACCACTTTGAACTGTTTTAACACAGTGTAATTTATCTCCTGGCCCTGTGTAGATTGTATATTTTAGTGTGACAAACATATATATTATATATAGGTTATATTACAAAACACATATTTTATAGTTTAGATGTGGGAACCCTGGCTGCTGAGAATTTCAGATTTCTGTGCTGACAGAATCTGACCTCCCAAAAAAAACCACTGCATTGACCTGAGGGCGTGGAGAAAGCTCCCAAAATTGAAATATAGAATTAAGATTATAAGTGTGTAGTTTAAAGAGAAGTGTGTAATATCACATAGGGGAAAACTTCAGAGTTTAAAGTTTTAGAATATAATAATATATATAAAACAAGAGAGGAGTTTTAGGGCAGAGACTAGTCCTTCTTCTTCACCTTCTTCTCCATGGGTTTGAGTGGTACTTCATTAAATAAAAAAGTAAGAAAATTAAATGAAATAAATAATTTAAAAAGAAAAATATATTTATTAAAATTAATTAAATATTTTTAAGTATTAATTAAATTAAAAATCCATTAAATTAAAAAGTCTGCATTGCAGACCTCAAGTAGTTAGCTAACAGTTAAAAATAATTTAATGCCATTGCTTAATTAGACAGTTTATCCCTAGAAGATCTTACAGGGAGAGAGATACAACTCCATTTTTAGTTTATTAAAATAAAATACAATAAAACTCACAGTTTATGAAACTATAATAAAAACTAATAAACATCTAAATCCAAACAGAAATACCATCTCATAGATTTAATCCCAACCCTAACAGAAAACCCCTAAAACCTCCACATTTAGGCTGTCAGTAAATATTCAAACACAGACTACGTGTTGTGCAGTGTGGAGTTAAATGCTTTTATTTGTGTAACTCACTGGCAGTGCTGAGAATAACTCAGAGAATTTGGGAAATGGCTAATGTTGCTTTCATGGGCTTGTCTGTACAAAATTGTCTTGTCCGCATGAAATAGTATTGAAAAGAAATAAACTATTGATATAAATAATATAAAATAATATTGACAAGAAATAATATTAAAAGGGAATAAACAAGGATGCAAGGAAGGATTTAGCACTGACCTTTGGTTATCCAGAACTGTCCAAGCACAGAACAGGGGCCTTGTGGGAACATAAAACAGATAAATTTCACCTGCAGCACTTTAAAGAGATGGGTCAAGAACCAGCAAATCAAAGGAATGTTTGAATATGCATAATCTTCATCCACATGCATTGGACCAATGTGCTGAAAAAGTATATATTAAATATATGAAAATATTTTATATTTTTTGTATTATATAATATATAATATATATTATATAAAATAGTTTAATTATATATTTATATAATAATATTATATATTATATAATATATATGATAATATTATATTAAATATTTTAATTATATATTGTACATTATAATATATAAAATATTATATTAATAGATAATATCAGTAAATATTTATAAATATAATATATAAATTATTCTGAACTAACTGATGTGCTGGGAATATCCTGAGCAAGGCAAAGGAAACCACCCCCAGGGCCACATTCCCCAGAAATACCTTGGAGCTGAACAAATCCAGTTTATTGCACTTCCTTTATACTCTGAGATGAACTGTAAATTCTGGTCAAATCCTTTTTCCAGTATTTCTGGTTACATCTGAAAAATCAGAATGAGGCTGACTTGGGCATTGAGGAACTTAATTTTCCAGTTTAAATATTTGATACACAAACAAACAAATTGTTTTTTTATTATTATTATTAAAATATTGATATTAGATATTTAAATACCCATTGAATCAAGGAGTTTTTCCATCTCACTGTCCTGGTTTTGATGCTTCTGGCCCCACTGGAAAGAGCTGGTACAAGATTTTCTATAAGCACACTTAAGAGCATAAAATACAATAATAATAATAATAAATATCCATTCATTATGATCCATTTGGTTCTGCATTCCAGAGGAAAATGGGGATTGCCTGTGAATTATCCTGCCCCTTTCAGGAACACTCACTGGGTGCTTTGCTTAAAATCTGACAGTGAATTCCTTCCCGTGAATTTTGTCCAAATCATGCCATTAATTCAATTTTTGTATCATTTATATGGGATATTCCATTCGATCCTTCACACTGGGTTTGTCAGGAGGACAGCTCCTCGTGGGAACATCCCAAGTACCCACAGGGCAGCTTCCAGGTCTCCACACCAACAACACACAGAACAAAGAGGGATAAGAAGCAAATGTGCAAAATTTATTATGTCCTTCAATGAACACAGGGAGAGGAAATTTATAAAATTAGGTAATATCTTCAAAATCAAAGAAAAAAAGTTACATAAACACCAAGAGTTCCTAGATAGAACAAACAGCAGCCCATGGGATGCTCAAAGCTGGCTCCAAAGCAGTTTCTTCATAAAAAAATAAGGTATTTAAAAAAAAAAAGGCTCTGGAAGACAGTGGAGTCAGCATGGAAAACATGGGATATGAAAACTGAAATGTTCCTGCAGCACATCCTGATTGTCCAAAGAAAAGTCTGCTGGCAAAAGAGGGAAAGCCCTGAGCGCCAAGCTCAGCCCCCTGCTAAAGGCATTTCCTCAATTCCACCGGGGCCCTGCTAATTCCAGAAGGAGTTTGGAGAGACCCAAAAACCCATCCCAACCCACCCCTGCCATGGGGACACCTCCCACTGTCCCAGGCTGCTCCAGCCCCAGTGTCCAACCTGGCCTTGGGCACTGCCAGGGATCCAGGGGAGTGAGGCATGGAACAAGCACTGGGAACATGCCCAGCAACATCCATGAGGAGCCCTGTGAGGAACCTCCTGAGGAATCCTGTGAGGAACCTTCTGAGGAATCCCTGTGAGGAATCCCTGTGAGGAACCTCCTGAGGAACCTTCTGAGGAATCCTGTGAGGAAACCCTGTGAGGAAACCCTGTGAGGAAACCCTGTGAGGAACCTCCTGAGGAACCCTGTGAGGAATCCCTGTGAGGAACCTTCTGAGGAATCCCTGTGAGGAACCTTCTGAGGAACCCTGTGAGGAACCCTGTGAGGAATCTCCTGAGGAACCCTGTGAGGAAACCCTGTGAGGAACCCTGTGAGGAAACCCTGTGAGGAACCCTGTGAGGAATCCCTGTGAGGAAACCCTGTGAGGAACCCTCGCAAGGAACCTCCTGAGGAACCTTCTGAGGAATCCTGTGAGGAACCTTCTGAGGAACCCCAGCCTTCTCACTGCTGCTCCTCTTGCTCCCCTATCACCTTTAGCTCTGGACCTGCTGAGCCAAGCCCTGCCAGGGGCTGGAAGAGCAGGTGAAAATTCCACAGGTTTGTGTCCAGCATGGATTTCCTTTGGCTGTGTAAACACTGTGGGAGTAACTCCACACAGAGCTCTGCTGGAGCAGGCAGGTTTTGCTCAACTCACAGCTTCAAGTAGAGAAGTGCCCAAAGCTGCTCCTGGTGCAGAGGGACAGCCCTGGGTGGGGTGGGGACATCAGGGTCATTTCCAGCCAGGCCTGAGGAGCTCCCCCAGCAAGGGCAGCTCTGGGAACCCAAACCCAGCAATTCCAGAGTGTCCCCCTGAGGGTCCCAAAGGTCACAGTGTCCCCCTCAGGCTGGGACTTCCATCACAAAGAAGTCTGAAGTGCTTGTGAAGTTGACAATCCCATAAAGGAATTCCGATTTCCCAAAGTTACACCATTTCCTTGGCCAGGGTTTCTTTGGATTCTTTGCTCCCAGAAGTGTTGTCGTCGTTGGAATAATTCCCTGAGTCTCGACTGCTCTGCTTGGAATGTTTGTAGTCTGCAAAAACAATCTGATTTCCCTCTTCTGTGACCATGGATTCAATCACACAGCAATTTTCCACGGATTCCTCTGCAGCTGACAGGTAAGGGCTGCTGAAGGGGTGTGCTCCAAATCCCTGAGGACAGAAGCAGAAGGGGAAGAGATGAACATCCATAAATTTAAAATTATATACCGATTTAAATAAATTCTAATTCTGCTTCACACCACAGTCACACAAATGGGATTTATCAGATTCTTTACCGTGAAGGTGGGCAGGCCCTGGCACAGGGTGCCCAGAGCAGCTGGGGCTGCCCTGGATCCCTGGCAGTGCCCAAGGCCAGGCTGGACACTGGGGCTGGAGCAGCCTGGGACAGTGGGAGGTGTCCCTGCCATGGCAGGGGTGGCTCTGGGTGGGATTTGAGGTCCCTCCAGCCCAACCAGTCTGGGGCTCCATGCTCATGCTGAGCAGCAATGTGTTGTTTCCTACCCCAACACACCACTTGTTTCCCTAAGGACACCAACTCAGATTTAGGATGAAGTTTAGTTCACACAATCCCCAAATCCCTGGGGCTGGCAAAGCCCTCCCAGCCCAGGGAGTCCCAGCTGGGCCCCATGCCCACCTTGTCCCCAGCCCAGATCACTCAGTGCCACCTCCAGGGGACACCTGCAGGGATGGGCACTGCAAAGCTCCCTGGGCAGCCCCTGCCAGGGCCTGAGCACCCTTTCCATGGGGAAATTGCTGCTGCTGTCCCAGCTGAGCCTGCCCTGGCCCAGCCTGAGGCCGTTCCCTCTCCTCCTCTCCCTGTTCTTGGGACACCTCCCAGCTGCATTCACAGAATCCAACACTAAAGGGTGACTCCAACATTTTATCCCAGCTCTCTTCCTGCTCTCAGCTGTCATCACCAGAGAATTGTAACATTTCATGGGTTAGAGCCTGAGGAGGACACACAAGAATGAAAAGGAAATCCAGGAATAGAGGTTTCAAGACACACTTGAGTGTTGCCCTTCCATTCCAGAAAAGGATCCCTGCTAAGCAGCACCTGTGCCAAGCTGAGACTGACAAAGCTCTGGAGACCACTGATAAAACCTCTAAAATGAACCCTGACTGACCCATAACAGATAAACATCTTTTTTCCATGATATTTAAAGTTCATTTTCCTACAAAGAAGCTGTGTGATGACTGGGAAGTCAGAGCTCACCTCGATGTTCATGGGGGGCTGGCAGGAGGGGAAGAACACATATTTGATTTTGTTGTAGGCTTGGTAGAGCAATAAAACAAGAGGAGTGACCACCAGCAGGACAAACAGCAGGGCACCCATGAAAATCCCGAAAATGATCAGAGGCAAAGATGTACCTAAAATTGGGAATAAAAACCATTCAGTCGAGGTATTCAGAACCAGGAAAAATTAAAGCACAGCTCCAAATGTGCTGCAGAATTTGTCAAATAATTCAACCTTTCCACATCAGGGAAATGTTCTACAACATTTCCACAGCTATGGGCACCAGGGAAAAGTGATGCTGTGCCAGTCTCTGAGACAATTTTGCTTAAAGAAGCCACAAAATATCTCCCAATACAAGGACAGAGAATCACCAAGGTGGGAAGAGACCTCCAAGATGCTCCAGTCTCTCCATCACCCCCACACCAGCAGCTGGGGGGGTCCCCTGGAGAGGAGAAGCTCCAGGGAGAGCTCAGAGCCCTGCCAGGGCCTGGAGGGGCTCCAGGAGAGCTGCAGAGGGACTGGGGACAAGGATGGAGGGACAGGAGCCAGGGAATGGCTCCCACTGCCAGAGGGCAGGGGCTGGGTGGGAGATTGGGAATTGGGAATTGTTCCCTGGCAGGGTGGGCAGGGCTGGGATGGGAGATTGGGAATTGTTCCCTGGCAGGGTGGGCAGGGCTGGGATGGAATTCCCAGATTCCCCTGGATCCCTGGCAGTGCCCAAGGCCAGGCTGGACACTGGGGCTGGAGCAGCCTGGCACAGTGGCAGGTGTCCCTGCCATGGCAGGGATGAGATGAAATGATCCTCAAGGTCCTTCCCAGCCAAACCATTCCATGATTTCCTGATTATCTCAACAAACTGAAAGGAGTTTGCTGATACCAAAATTAACAGGCACCAGAAACCCATTTCTAAGGAATACAAAGAACATAATCAGGTCTTATTTTATGATCAAAGAATGGAAGATTTTCACTCTGGGGTATAAGAACCTGGGAAAGACAGAGCATGGTCTGACTTGAAGGTACTGCTTGGATTTAAAGATATTCATTGAAACAGCAGGATAAGGGTAAGAGTAATACCTAGGTAAATAGATTTAAATATTTATCTTTACCCCATTCAGGTAAAAAGTAGCATTTGGTTGTTTTTAGGTTTGATAAGACACAGCAGTGAGGACCACAATATAAATGAATCCTGAATGTGAGCCAGGCATTGCTGTTATTATATTTTCTTGGCTTTAAGGCAGATTGAAGACTCAGAAATTTTCACAGTGTTCACAGAATTTTATGTGGCTAATTATCTTCACCCTGGTTTGATCTTCTTTTCTGAGTGAGTGCAATCCCCCCACTCTCCCCTGGCACCAAGATGAGCTTCCAGCCCTAATAAATGTGATTTATCTCCTCACTCTTTGGCACAGGAGATTCATTCCCAGAAGAACTAAGTTCCAAAGGTAAAACACCCTGCTAACGTGTAATTTTGTGATTCCTTGCTCCCTCCCAAGATGAAGGGCTGGGAAGTGAAGCTCTCTGCCCAGCCAGCTGCTCCCAGTGCTGGCAGGAGTTCTGAGCTCCCAGTGAAGGAGGAACAATTCCAGCTGCAGAGGGGGAGTTGCTGCCAGGCTGTGCCCACCTGCAGGGGTGTGGATGCATTCCTGCTGGCTGTAGGCACTTCTTTTGTTGTAGGGCTCAGAGATGGCCTGGACTTTGACACAGTACAGGGTGGAGGGGGACACATCAGACACTGTGGCTATGGTCTGCTTCACCTCCTTCTGCTTCACCTCCTCCTGGCAAAAGCAAAAAAAAGGAAAAAGGAAGGATCAGATCCCATGGGCAGCGCAGGAATCTCAAACAGGTGAGTGAGAGCTGCGGCCTCTGATGGAGAAGTGATTCTGTGAAATGTCAGACATTGCTGCAAACCCAGAATCTGCAGGGCTCATCCAGCCCCACATCCAGATGCCTCTGGAACATTTCCAGGAACTCCACCACCTCCCTGGGCACCCAGATTCAATAAAATAAATAAACCACCCCCTTAGCTCCTAAGCAAAACTCAGCAAACACTTCCTGGGCAAGAACCAAGTGCTTCCCCCATTCTGAAATGTCACAATTCCAAGTTTCCAGGAAATTCCTTCCTGCCGCAGTTTGTTTCCCTCTCTTCTGCTCCCCTCTTACCAATTACTGTGAAATATTTTACCCTAAGAAGTATTTAAAAAACATGGAAAGAGCCATTAAAATGTGAACTAAAAGGATGCAGGACTTCAGTGTTTGAGGAGCTTTTTCCATCACATTGCACACAGCCACATCCATAGAAATGGAGATTTTACATCATCACTGGGAGATAAAAATCACAGTAATCTTTCATTAAAAAACCCAATAAACTGACTTTTTAAAGACTGATATACCACAAATGTGCCACTTTTGGAGAGGAGCTCCTCAGGGAGAACAGAAGCTCAGGATTTAAGTCAGAATCAATTTTATATTGTATGTAATTAGCTCACACCTCCATATCTGAGGAATTCTTCCAGTACAAGATTCTGTAGGACAACTGGTAATGTTCCCTCATGAATTTCTCCTCAGCTCCTCCTGGAGGAGAAATAATGATGTGGAGCAAAGTGTCACTGAGGTCCAGCCTTACACCAGGAGGCCCAATTTCATCTGAAAACAATAAAATAAATAATTAAAATCCCACTAAAAAAAATTGCCTCAAAGACTGTCAATGAAATCCATGATAACTTTGAAGAAACATACAGTTAGAAGTATAATTTCATAGTTTTGTCCTGAGAGACACTTCAATTAATTTCACTCTGTTCTTGTGAAATCCCCTCTCCAGACTCCTGTCAGCTCATGAAGGCATTTGGCACAAGTTTGCTGAGCAATGAGCATTTCAGGAAACCATTTCCTTACTTGTTTGCAGAGGATCCACTTTGACTTCCCTGGAGAAGCAGGATTTGTTGTGCCCCTCCCTGGCCTGCACCCGCAGGTAATAAAATCCAGTGGTGTTGATGGAGGAGAAGTTGCACCAGGTGCTGGTGATGTTCTCACAGCTGGGGACACTGAGCCACTTGTCTGAGTAATCCTCATTGAACTTCTTCCAGAAGCTACTGCAAGAGAGAATTCAAGAGTTTTCATGTCAGCTCCCTCAACTCTCAAGAAAATCGTATTTGTTTGTGCTGCACTTGGCTCAGTTTTGGGCAAAAAGGCCTCTAGTAATTAAAAAAAAAACAACCCCAGCATGTTAATATGAGACATTTCTGAGTGGAACAATGAAGATAAAAGGGCCAGGAAATACAAATCAGGGCTTTAACCAAGCCTCAGCAGAGAAATGAAATGTGGGGTGGGCAGGTTCTGAAAATCCAAATGAGAAGTTCTCACGTAGCTCAGTGCAGTCCATTGTTTTTCTGTCATGCCAAAGAATTCCCAAGGAATGCCAGGGGATCCCTCCTCTTCTGTTAGGTGCTGGCCACAGTATTTATGCAACAGCTGGAGATTGAGATACAGGTTTATAGAGCTGCTTCTTAATGGGATTTTATGGATGTGATTCGATGAGTTTTTATGGGACATGATGGGGGTTTTATGGCATTCCTTGTTTTTTGATGCAATATGATTTTTGTCCGGTTTTCTTTATGTGATACAGTGTTTTAGTGTGTGATGCGATGGGGTTTGATGTGATACACGGGTTATTTCACATGACAGGAGGGGGCTTTCATAGGACTTGATGGGTTTATGTGACACAAGATTTCTCTTAAAGTGACACAACATTTCTTTTATGTGACACAACATTTCTTTTATTTGACACAACATTTCTTTTAATATGACACAACATTTCTTTTAAGGTGACACTATGTGCTACCTTGTATTTTCTCCCGTATTTGGGTCTGCCCAGAACAGATCCAAGCTGCTGACAACTGAAACCTCCAACACCTGTATTTTTGCTCACTTTTACTCATCTCATTTCTTCACAGTCAAAAAGCCACTAAGCAATTCAAGTTTCCCAGCTTTAAAAATGTCCCTCAGCATTTAGGAGTCCCTTCCATCAGGAGTTTAACACCCCCAAAAGCGGCCCAGTCCCCTGAAATTCCAGGCTCAGGTGTCACATGGAATTCTTAAGCTATTCACGTCCCAGTTAGCAGGGGAAGCCAGCAGATATTTCATTTTCAGCTCTAGGAAACACTTGCAGAACACAACAAAGGGCATTTCAGATGGCAGGGGTGGGAATGGCTGAACTCACAGCAGGTACTGCACGTTGTAGTTCACACCCTGGTTTTTCTGGGCATGCCAAAACAGGTGGAATTTCATGTTCAAAGCCAGGACAGTCACGTTGGTTGCACACAGGAGGTCGTTCACTGCTCAGGGGGAGAAGGAAGCCCAAAGTTACCAAAAAACTTCATGTTATGGACAGGGAATGGATATTTCTCATGTCAATAATGAAAACATAAAGATTATTCATTATACAGATTGTAAGTCACAGGCTGTGATATGTAAAGCATCTCATCAAGCCCTTGATTAAAAAATCAGCTAAAAATCAATTCAGAAAAAAATTAAAATACACAAATATTGAGAGGAGCAGAAATAAACTGGTTTGGGAATAACATGAGGAGAAAAATGTAAAAACTACACGTCTGTATTTATTGTACATTTAGATTTTTTGTTTTAATAAAATATGAATGCAACAATTACTTAATATTTTGGTAAAATAATTAAAACTTGCATGTATCAATTATTGCAATATTTTATTAAGATACACATGTATTATTTTAATATTTTAAAAATACACGTGTATTCTTTTAATATTATTAAAGACACAGATGTGTATTAATTAGTGTATTTTGTGTATAAAGAAATTTTCATTTACCATCAGTTACTTACAATTTGATGTACCATCAACTAATTATGACTTACCAACCCTGTCCAATCTAATATTTGCCTTTCTGAAGTTATTTTTTCCTAAAGTAAGCATTTAAAAGCAACAGCACAGCATAAAAAAGAACTTAATTTTACATTATAAGGTGGAAAACTTGCCCCCTTCAAAGGCTTTCTTCACCAGCTGTAAAAATCAATTCACCAAGGATTATATAAAACCAGCATTTTTTTTAAGCTCAGCTCAACTTTCTGTGCATTCATTGAGTGCCAAGTATCCCAGAGGCTTTTGGGGTTTTTTACCTCCCGATTCAGCCACTGATTGAAAAATAAGAGTTTTCCAAGGCACACAAAGAAGCTTTTGTTCCAAATCAGTGCCAAAATTCACCTCATGGCAAAAACATTTCTGTATTATTAAAACTCTACCCTTGGCATATTTTATGTTGATTGAGAAGGGTAAATGCATATAACACATAACATATATACATATATACACATATATATATATATACACATATATACACATACATATATATAAATATATATACATATCTCCCATGTATATATATATTTATATAATTTTTTTAATACCAAAGTGAGGAGGAATTTGGCCCTTCTGCCTACTTGTGTTGCTTCAGAGCAACTGACAGTGTGGCAGTTTAAGAGAAGTCATCACTGGCGGATGAGCTGATTTCCTGGGTACCTTTCTGGCTGGTTTTCACACAGCTGACGGGGCTGAAGAAGCCCTGCTTTCCATCACTGGGGAGATTTGCTTGGACCTTGAAGCAATAGGTGCTGTTTGGGGCAAGGTCATCAACGGTGTCAACAGGGAAAATGGTTTTACTCTGCAGCTGGAAGAAACAAGCACAAAGAGCTGTGAGGGGAACTGTGCTTCCCCAGGACCATCTTTAATCATCACTTTGCAGGGTTTCAGCCCATTTGTATCATACCTCACCTAAAAAGGTAAAACAGAGAAAGCAGGAGAGTTTGAGCTGGAGAAACCCAACAGGGAAGTTTGCAGCTTAGCCAGTGACTGACAGGCAGGAGCATTTTGGGCTCCTTTGCCATGGAAGCAGGGAGGGATTGGGCGTGCCCAGGAATTGACCCCACTGACATTCCAGAATGGAGCAAGACATTCCCATCCCTCCATCACCCAAACACTCCTCTGTCCTCTGCTTTTGGTCTCCCAGACTTGGTGGTGACTGACCATACACAATTGTACTTCTGGGCCTTGTGCTCCTTCAGTGTATAATCCCAAAATCCCAGAGGTGGGAAGAGCCCTCCAGGACCACCCAGTGCCACCCCAGTATCACCCCAACCCTGTCCCCAAGGCCACATCCAGACTCCTCTGGGACAATTCCAGTGACTCCAAACCTCCCTGGGCAGCTCATCCCATGGCCTGACCACTCTTTGAGGGAAATTTAATTCTGTCTCTAATCGGATCCTCCCCTGGTGCACCTTGAGGCCATTCCCTCTTGTCCTTTCCTCATTCCTGTGTTTCCCTCCGTGTCCCCTCCTGGCAGGAGCTGTGAGAGCCACAAGGTCCCCCTGAGCCTCCTTTGCTCCAG